ATCGGGATGGGTGTATCAGAGGCGGTGTGGTTGGCGCAGGATAGAGCAGGGTTTAGGGCTGTTGTGCATAGGGTCGCTATGAGTCGGAAACGACTCAACGGCACATAACAACAACAACAACATGAAGGAACTGATTAGAAAAATTAAGGTGATATGACTTCTAAACATCAAAATCAGTTCTAGCTGTCTCCTTAAAACTGCATGCTTTAATTTTCACTTTTCCATTCAGATAAGGTTGGGCAGGTAAATCTATAAGATGTTTGACTAGCATGTACTCATGTGTATGTGTTCTCCAGTAAGGAAAATGTTTTTAACAATAGCTTTCTCTAACACCATTAGCTTTATTCGCTGTGACCTTACATTTGATACCCAATTTTTCCCCATAAACCTTTGACCTGGTTGGAGTTAGGGGTGGGACCCTGATCTGTGAAAGCTCTAGGAAGACATGGCAATGATTAAAGAGAGAGCTGGAGACACGGGAACCTGGTGTGGAGTGGGCAGTTCCCCTCTGAGGCGGTTCTCTCACTGCTGAAATGTCTCTTCAGGTGTGTTCCTCTTCTCCCGTGTCCCTCCCCGGGTCGCGGTCGAGTCCCTCTCTCTCACTGGTGTTTCTTTTCTCCCTGTGTCCCAGTCTCCGTCTCCTGGCAGCTCCTCGCCCCTGGGTGCAGAGTCCTCTGGTACACCCCATCACCCCAGTGATCCCGCAGAAGCCTCCACCAACAAAGAGGTAGGTGCCATTTCATTTCAGAAGCCACCAGCCCATTTTGCTTTTCATCTCATACTGGTGTATGCTTGTTCTCACCTCCCAGAGCTTCTGCCTCAAAATTAATTTCTGCTCTGCAGTGTGGGACTAGTTGGTAAGAGCTGTGCTGCTCAATTTGGTAGCTGCTAGCCAATCTTTAAATTTAAAGTAATTAAGTTTAAAATTCACACCCTCTGTTGCACTACCATCCAGGTGCTTAACAGCCCCGCGTGGCTAGAGGCTACCATGCTGGGGAGGGAAGGTTAAGGATTTCCATCAGTGTGGGAGGTTCAGCTGGTTGACAGCTCCACGGACCGACATCCTTCCGCACAGTATTACCTGCATCCTGATACCGTGAGTGTCATTTGCAGGGTGGTTTAGGAGTGAGTAGACTTTTGAGTCCCTCGATAGCCATTTATTTCCAGCCTAAATGAAAAACATTTTGTGAGATTAGAGTGACATTTAGCCAACCATTCACCAAATACTTACTTAGGTCCCATTTTAATGTGAATTGTTCCTGTTGATAGTTGTTGTCAAGCAACCCCTTTAGCAATGCTGTTCAAGCACCTTTTTGCATTGACGGACGTGTTCTGCTTCCTTACTGTCCAGTATGGCAGCTGCTAACCACTCACACCTGTCAAAGCCTCGAAATATGAATGTGGTTTGTGGGGCCAAAGAACTTAAGTTTAATTTCCTTTACTTTGCATTATTTTTAAGTTTAAATAACCACCTGGGGCTCAGGACTGTTGGGCAGTGAAGCTCAAAAGTGTCCCGTCTCAGGTAACAAATCGTACAGTTAGTTGCTCTGCTGTTGAGACCTCACTAACTAGATCCAGTCGGAAATGGTTACATGTGAGGGTGCTGCTTGCTCCTCCTGAGAGTTCTGGGGCTAGAAAAGGGCAGGTGTCTTTCTTGAAGGGAGCCCATGGCCTTGTCCCTTTGCACCCAGCTCCCCTGCCACCCACACCTGTTAATGAACCAGAATCAAGTACATATTGGCCAGCACTGTGTTCTTTGTGTGGGCTGGCTCGGCACCCTCTAAATATAGATGCTGCCAAATCAACACTGAGGATATGCGTGAAAGAGGTAACCCACATGATGAGTGACTATCTCATTTTCTCTCCTTTTGCTAATAATTTCTGGTTTGAACAATGCAAAGAAGGCCGTCTGCATTCTAACATGACAGATCACTTCTGAAAAGAGTCTTGGGTGACAAGTATCATACTTGTGGTGAAACACATGCATTTGTGATGACACATTGATGAAAAGAACTATATTCTTTTGTTATTAATACCAATAATTTAGAGCCAAACAAGCATTGAGAGACCTTCCCTGAATTTTAGAATTCTGAATTGAGATGCTTTGATCTCCTGCTCCTAGTCCTTAAGCTGTAGGCCACTGGAACAAGAGTGGTGGGGTCAGTGTCTGCTGCCCCTCCCTGTCTCTTGAGCTCTGAGCTCCGCATTATGCGTTATTCATGGCACACCCTGACAGTAATAGTCAGGAGAGGTGTCATTTCCCAAGCACTTTGGTGTTCCAGGCACAGGGCTGAACGAGCCTCAGCTGGTATCTCATTTAATCCCTTGAACAATACCAGGAAGTAGGTGTAATTGCCTTCATGTCCTAGTTGAGAAAGCTGAAAGATTGCTGTCACAGAATTCCCATGTAGTTGGGTCGGGATTTGAACCCAGATTTCCACAGGCCCGTGATCTTAACCACAGGATCTAGTCCTCCTGGGGTGGAAATTGTTCTTACTGTCACTGTCCACAAAGCCACAGCAGATGGCATCTTAATCTTCCAGCCTTTCTGGCGCTGCAAACTGTTAGTGCAGTCCCTGGGAAGAACCCAAAGATCCTAGCTGTTAGCCTTTTAGGGTGTGAGTTTACTTATTAATTCTTGAATGTTAAGGGTGAACCAGTGTTCCTCTCAGTCCACATGTGAGCAAACAAAGGGCTCATCAGACATCTGAATATTCAGCATTTGATTATGCAGCAGATATAATGAGCAAGGCAAATTTGTTAGTTTCTCAGTTCCTACAAGACTTGGCACGTGCTTCTGCACATCCTTAGAAATAATGATGAAAATCCTCTTTGTGTGCAATAATTAGAGATGCTTTCATTTCCCAAATTCTCTTTTTGAAAAAAATTTACTACCCTAGAGACGAAAGAAAGCCAGTCATGAGCTTTGAATAGAAAAGAAGTGAGTTTACCCAATGCCCTCCATTGTGGGTCTAAATCAAATAGCAGCTTTTAGAACTATAGGCTCAAAGGAATTCTTTTTTAGCTTTTGCTATAATGTGGTCACTGTTCTGGAGCTTAGAATTCAGAAAAGTATCTGAAGAGCCTCAGAAACTCTAAATTGGCTTCTTGAATGTACCAAGAGGAGAAGCCATCTTGGGTTACCAAAAATAGGGTTTGGAGGTGGTGGGGGAATAAAAGTTTAAAATCTGAGCTCATATGAAAAAGCTAAGTTTCTGAACACCATGGAGTTAATATATTTTAAATAAAACAAAAAAAAACTAATCATAATTAGACAAACTTGGTTACTGACAATCAATAGAGGCTGTCTTCTCACTTGGACAAATAATACAATGAATAGTAGAATATGATTTCTTTGTTTTTATCCATCTTCTGTGTCCATTGGTGTGCACTTTGCAGTAAATGCATCAGCCCCTGTTGCGTTTTCGTGTCTTGCCTGTTTGTATCTTCATTTCCTTGATCTGTGACCCTTGCTGAGGCATGAAGCCCAGACCCTTTGGCCTTTCCATCCTCCACCCACACTGTGACTATGAGGGGGTTGCCCTGGGCACAGGTTGTAGTTAGTGTTAAATTCCCACCATTGTTCAGAATTTAGTATGAACATTCCATTTCTTCACCTGTCCCCGGTTTCTGTCCATTGTTTAACAGGGCTGTTTTCAGAATGGTGACACTTACTGACCTATTTGTCTCTTGGCCATTCCCAACTTCTTTCCCACAGCATTCCAGCCCTTATTCAGATCCAGGTCCCTTCACCTTTCCAGCCCACTGGAGACCCCAGAGTTACCATCTATCAATTCAAGTCCACTCATTAAGAAGGTTATACTGCACTACGTACCCTTTCTCTAGACAGTGCAGGTTAAAATAATCACTTAGTTCCTGGAGAGTCTCTGCAATTTAAACCCAGGTTTACCAGCAGTGAAATGAAAATCTTTGAGGCTTTCTGTGGACAGTCTTTGACACTACAGACCCAACCTTTTTGTCCACTTTATGAATTCTTTTCTTTAACATTGTCAGTCCATTCTTCTGCAAAACTTGTCTCTCTGTCCCAGATGTATTACTAACCAAATTGAAGTGCTTGTGAAGCAGCAATGAAGTTTCTACTCTGATCCCACTCAACGTGGACGTTAGCTCCAGGGAAGAGCAAGTGGTGTGTTATTGGTGTTCTGAGAACAAGCTTCTAGGCTCCTCTGCAGCCAGGCTGGGGGAGATTGTCATCACACCCAACAGCACTGACCTGTACTCGGAGGTTGTACTCTATGTACAAATTCCTGTGTTGTTGTTGTTGTTGTTTACTTTTTGTTTCTCTGTTCTTATTTTAAGGTAACACATAAGAATAACTTATATAATGAAACTTTTCCACTAAAATAACTCAGAAATGAAAGCACGAGATTTAAAAAAAAATCTAGCAGACATTTTTAGCACAGAGAGTTATCAATGCAGGAGAAAGAAACAAAGCCCCAAACTGATTTTCTTGTTTCTCCCATGGAATTTTTAGTTTTTGCATATAATCATCTTGTTGATGATCATACTGTTCAGCATTTCCTCCGTGTGGAAATGCAGAGTCTTAAGAATACAAATTACACCCTTTCTCTTGCTGTGGTCGATTATAGATTAGGATCTGTGCAATAATTTCTAGGTTGATAGATATCTTTATGATTATAGGGTGAGGTTCTCAGATTATAAAAAATGCAGATGGGCCAATCTGGGTTTGGGGTGATCTTTAAAAGGAAATGAATATATTTATCCACCGTTTGCTTTCTCTAACCAGAAGTGGTTGATAACTGGTTAATAACTGCCGCTGGTGATGCATTTCTTTTTCATGTTGCATAGGTGGTTATGTTAATGGATAGTTTATCACACTTGCCCTTTTTAAAACCTCTTTGTCTTAATTACAGTCAAGAAAAAGCTTGGCGTCATTTCCAACCTACGTTGAAGGTAAGAGCTACCAAGACTATATTGATCACTGAGTCACTCATGAATCTTTTAGGTTTGGGGTGTTTTTAAGGACCAGGCTGTAAAACAGTAGTGATGGGGCACAACCACAGAGTTACTTATTCATGGTCTTCTGGGGCTGGAAAAGCAGTCAGCCCGCTAAGCCTTGCTCACTATGTAGATACAGAGCCTGAGGCTGGAGGTGAGGCTGGGGGCTTGCCCTGCCTCCTGCACCTTCGTCATGGTCATACTGGGTTTAAACCCCTGTGTCCCTTCTCTAGAACACGCTCTCCCAGAACACCCCTTTTAGCTATCTATTCTATTCGGTTGGGAATGAATGGTGAAGGACACATTTTGATATTTTTTTTAAATTAATTTCAATGAACATCTACAGAGATTTTGGACTTCCATTCATTCATTGTTGCACTTTTCTCCCCGCCCCCCCCACCCCCTTCACCCCCCCGCTCCTCTCCTTGAAAAGCAAAAGAAAAACCTCCTTCATTGGTACACAATCCCCCCGCACACCTCCATCCCCATCCCCACCCCGAATATACTTCACTCTGCAAGATCTTCTCCACAATCCCTTTGTCTCTCTGTTGAATTAACTAGTACTGGTAATCCACAGCTATGCATATTTGGGACACAGTGATTCATACTTAACAGGCATCATTTTTTTGTACTTCCTGTCTTTGGTGGCATAGTCCATAGAGAGTTGCAGTGCTAGCCCAGAGGCCTCTCTGGCAGTTCGAATCCATTGGCTGCCCCACGGAAGAAAGATGTGAGCATCTTCTGATTCCACCAGAATTATTTCTTGAAAGCTTTCCCTTGAACTACTCCCTGGCTCATCCTGACAGTTCACTGGCTTGGCTGCCAACTAAACATTTGGAGGTTTAGAGGTTCCTGGAAATCACTGCTGTGTGTGAGCCCATTGTTCCAGCCATCACATCAGTGTCACCGCCTCAGAAATCAATGCAGGGTAAGCCACGAGTCGATTCTGTCTCAGTGGTTGTTGATGTTGTTGTTGTTGTTGTTGTTCCTTTGAGTCTGAACCGACCCATGGCTGACCTTCCAGAGGGTTTTCAGAGCCAGTTAATCAAGCAGAAGGAGACTACTGCCCATCTTTCGATTCGAACCAAATGCCTTTGGCATTGCAGCGAAGCTTCTGGCCACTAGGCCACCAGACCTCCCTCTGACTCAGTGGCTGTGAGCTTTTATAGAACTCGATGCCTTTGAGTTCTGGTGCTGGAGATGAGTGTTGAACATACCGTGGACTGCTAGGAAAACAAACCAAGCTGCTCCCTGGAGCCAAGGATTTTGAGGCTCTATTTCATATAGTTTGGGCATGTGGCCAAGAGGGATCAGTCTTTGGAAAGGGACATCATGCCTGGAAAGGTGGAGGAATAGTGCAGGAGAAGACCCTGGATGAGATGGATTGACTCAGTGACTGGAGTAATGGGATTAGGTCTGTCAGAGACAATGAGATTGGTGCAGGATAGGGCAGCTTTCAGAGTTAACATACATAGGGTCTCTGTGAATCAATCCGATGGCACATAACAACAACAACAACTACATACAGTGTTGCCGTATATAATTTGCTAATATGATCATAACTGTTAGATCATATATAATGTTTCCAACCCCTAACGATACTAATAATAAATGACAGTAATACTGAAAGCTTTAAAAAATAAAGCCTTTGGCTTCTCTCTGAGCCATCTCGTGATAGAGCTGTCAGAATAGCACCCCGTCGTCAGTCAGAGGCCATCTGTACCTGTTCCCTGCCAGGTACAGTTCTACACTTTCCACCTCATAGCTACGTGAACCTTCACAGCTGTCTCTCTCTGTGAACAGGAAAACAGGAGCATCAAGAGGGTGAGTAACTTGTCCACGTCCAAGTCCAGAATTCTCCCTGTAATCAGCCACACAGAGTCACGACACATGATGGTTCACGTTACCCCCTACCCCCCACCCCAGGCATCCAGGTCTGGAGGGCCAAGGCTACACAGCCTGGCTTAGGGCATGCTGCCTACCTGTTGTTGTTGTTGTGTGCCATAGAGTCAGAACCGACTCCAGCTGACCCACCCGTGGGTTTTCAGAGGCAGTAAATCACACGGGAGGAGATTGCCAATGGCGCACAGCTTCTTACCACTCGACCAGCAGAGCTCACCTTCCACCCACAAGAGTTGCCTGTTTTTCATTTCTCCAGCAGCACCCTGTGGCTAGAGTTGGCCCCGGATACTCTGCCAGGGAGGACACAGTTTGTTGAATAGAGTGGATGACCACTGCTTAAAGGAGGTTTGTCCAGAGGCCAGAAAGACCCATGTGTCATGTTAAGGCCATGTATGACCTCTGGATCCTAAAAGTGAACAGTTGTTGTTCTCTGGAAATGAGTTATGGCGATTCATAAGCAAAAGTTTTATGTCCCGGAACATAGGGTGCTCTGGTGGCAGAGTCTGTAGGGAGTTGGGCTGCCAATCCAAAGGCTGGTGGTTTGAATCCATCAGTGAGTCCAAGGGAAAAAGGTGGACAGTCTCCTCCTGTGTGTTTTATATTTGCCAAAAACCCACTGGAGGGTCAGCTGTGCATCAGTCCTGATTCAACAGTAGGAGGTTTTTTGGAGAGCAGGACAAGCTCATAGGTTTGCTATAGTTACTCACGTTAGTGTCTCTCCCTCCTTTGAATGTTTTGTTTTATTTGGTGCCAGCTAGTTGGTTCCAACTCATAGTGGCCCTGTATTCAACAGAATGAAATACTGCCCCGTCCTGTGTCGTCCTAAAAAACATTGCCGTATGTGAACCACCGTTGCAGCCACAGAATTAGTTCATCTCATGGACCAGCCTGTAACCTATTAGCACGTTTTTTGAAGTTCTGAAATTCCATGAGAACAACTTGGAAATGTTTCTCAAGGTTGGAAACTTCCTCCTCCTCCATGCCTGTTCTTTGAGGCTGGAAGGTTTCCAGCTCAACGTTACATAGAAGTTGTTGTTGTTGTTGTTGTTGTTGTTGTTGTTAAGACCCGTCGAGTCACAGTTGACTCATAGCGACCCTATGACACTTCTGTATAACTTTCATCCTTTCTCCAGTTTCATAGGATTTCCAGAGGCAAGCTATTGTGGAAGTGGATGCCACTCCTGCTTCCAAGCTTGTTTAATTAGGGAGCTTCACCTAACACTGTCCACCATGGGTAACAATATTCAGCTTCACAGCAACCACGAGTTACCTCTGTATAACAAGTGGACATACCAGGGTTACACGACCTTTGGCTTGGGAAATAGGGTGCAGTATATGTTCCTGTGCACCCACAAAACAACCCCAGTGCACCCTGAAAGGAAGACCATGTTCCAAAAGGCCAAAATGACACCTTCAATTCTTTAACTTACAGCCATTATAGTTTGGTTATTTGGGGTTTTTTTAATGTACTAGTACAAAACCTAGAATAAACTTAGAAAATCCAGCTCAGCTCACTTCAGTTCGGTCAGAACTGACTTGAAGCTGATTCTCCAGCAGGTTTTCAGAAGCTGTAAGTTACACAGGAGGAGATTGCCTGTCTTTCTCCCTAAGAGCAGCTGGCAGATGCGAACGGCTTGCCCTTGGGTTGGCAACAAAACTCCTTATCCTCCAGACCACCATTAGGACTTTGGTTTGGGTTGTGTGGATTATTTCTCCCCTGGATGTTTAACAGTGAAATACATTTTATTATCCTCAATTTCCTGAAGGAATGGATGACATGAGATCACATTTTAAACTTATGATCTGGACAGAACCTGTCCTTTGGCTTCCTGGCATTTATGTGGCTATTTAATTACTATTTGGATTGCTTTAAACATATCTGCACACTCACACCTAGGTCAGTTGAAAAGGGAGCCCTTTGCAAGGAATTGAGTTGACATCACATTCACTCCAGCCCTTGGTGACCCCTCGAAGACGTGGAGGGTCTCTGATGGCTGATTTTCCACAAGTGGAGCCCCACCCCTTTCTTCTGTAGTGTCATGGAGTAGACTTAACCCTGAAGATGTTTAGTTAGCAGCCAAGAATGTTACCTGTTAGCATGACACACAGAATTGAAAGACATAGTCGAAAGAAATAGTTGGCTGCTAAATCAGAAAAAAAGTATAGGATATCGGAGGCCCTATGGGTAAAGTGACCTTTGTCCTTTTACATCTGTTATTTTAAAGAAGAAAAAAATAGAAGGAAGGTTTTTTAAAATTCTGTGCCATATGAGATAATTTTTCTCCACATCTGGCAGGCAAAACGGCTTAATTTTTGTTTGATTTCATTGACATTCTAAATCCATTCCAACTATCCTAGAAGGAACGCTTTTTCTTCTTACAGAGCATAGTTTGCCCCATATTCTTTTCATTAGATTAGTGTTTCTCTGACTGACAATTAAAGCTGTGTTGTAAATAATGGAAATCTGGAAAGGCTTTGTGGTGGGAGCATACTGCTGACAAGAAGGGGAACTGCTGGTCGGTGAGGAGGGCAGGTCTGACCGCGGGCCACTCGGGGCACTTGAATTCTTCCTCATAAAGACCAAGAATGATACCAATAGCAGGTTTCTTATTTAATTACTAACAGATACTACAGGATGGCTTTGCTAAAACTCTCCTAATTTCTTTGTTTCTGCCACCACTTTCGTTTTAGAAAAATGAAGAGATTATTTTAAGCCTGCACCCTGATAAGTAGCTTATCATGAGAAGCAGCTGTTTAAGCCCAAAATGAGCTTGATTTTTTAAGGATAAAAATAAAAGACACTTCAGATTAACTTCCAAGAGGAAAAACCAAATTGTTCTCATTTCAAATTATCGAATTTAAGACCCTAATGTTTGAACAGTGGGGTTAAAATATATGTAATAGTCTCCCCAAATACAGCATTCAAGTCTAAGAAAATACTTATGTTTTAATTACTGAATATAAACTCCTTTCTTAGTGCATCTGTGGTAAAGTTATGTTTCTGTGCCAGCCATGTTTTAATTTAGAATAAGGTTTATAGGTGATTATGGTTAGAATCAGATGTTCTCATTTTAAATACGTATTTAAACCTAAGCTTTGATTAAAAAGGCAGGTCAGTGAGAAGAGAAAATTTCTATTTTCTTGGAATTGATCTGTGTGGGAGATCAGGCCGGGAACATTATGTCCTGTGATTTAGCAAGGTTGATCACATGAAACCCTGGCTTTCGAGTAATACCTGTTCTGCAGAATTAGAAGCCAGTATGTGGATTTGAGGGTGTCAGAGATTGCGAGGCTGGCACAGGATAAAGCAGGGTTCAGATATGTTGTTCATTGGGTTACTGTGAGTCGTACTTTACTCACCAGCACCTAACAACAACAACTCTAGGGAACTCTGGTGGCTTAGTAGTAAGGAATTGCACAGGTGCCTCAAAGGCATGGACTTCAAACCCACCAGTTGCTTCATAGGATGAATAATCTCCGTGCAGTTTACAGCCTCTGAAAATCTGCGGGAGGGTCATTTATGAGTTGGTTCTGACTAGATGGTACACAACATCAACACCAATAGTGTTGAATTCAGACATTCTGAAACAGGTATCCTATTATTTTTTTATAAAGCATGTATCCCCAATTTTGGAGGAAAATAGGGGTTCCCTGGGTGATGCAAATTGTTAATATTTTTGTCTGCTGTTTGAAAGCTTGGCCATTTTCATCCTCTCAGGAGCAGCTCATAGGAATGCCTGGCAGTCTAGTTCCAGTTGATCCTTCAGATCCCTGTGGCTCCCAGGGCTCCTGTGGCATATGCAGGTTCCCTCAGCAGGAATCAGACTCCGCTTGAGGGTGACTGATCGTGGATGAAAAGGGGGCAGGTGATAGGGCCTGCTGGAAAGGGAGGTTTTCTAATCAGCCTTTTATCCCACCCCATTAGTTTACCACCCACTACAGTGGAAGATAGAGGAGCTTTGGTGGCACAGTGAGCTGAGTATCTGGAGGATAACTGGGGGATTTGTGGTTCAAACTCCCAGTCACTCCACAGAAGACAGATAAGGCAGTCTGCTCCCTTTAAGATTGACAGCCTCGGAGACCAGAGAGAGGGTCAGGATGAGTCAGGATAGACTCAGTGACAATGGACTTGGGTTTTATTTGAGCAAGAGGTAGATGCTCTGGTAGCAAGGTGGTTAAAGAATTTGACTCCTCAGAAAAGGGCCACTGGTTTGAGCCCAGCAGCTGCTCCCTGGAAAAAAAGATGAGGCAGAAAGATGCTGTTAAAGATTTACTACCACCTTGGAAACCCTGTGGGACAGTGCTGTTCTACCTTATGGGGTTGCTGGGAGTCCTGGGGTTTCGGTTTGGGTGGCAGATGATTAGAAACAGGAGAGTACAAGCTGCCAAGTACACGCTCCTTGGTCCCAGAGAGCTCACAGCCTTCTAGAAGAAGCATCCTTTATCACTGGCCTTAATGCTTCATATCTGAATATTCCCATCCTGTCTTACAAAAAAAAATTTAAAATGACAAACGCAAATAGTTTCTTCTTTTGTAAAACTGTGGGAGTGAAAGCAGGCTCAGAGATTAACCACAGATGAGCAGCATGGGGGGCGGGGGAGGGATTCTCATACCTCCCGCAGGGTCTGTGCCCGGTAACTTCACTCATGTGTGGCTCTGTGTGTTACAGTTCCCGGACCTTGTGACCCCGAAGACCTGATCGATGGAATCATTTTTGCTGCCAATTACCTTGGCTCCACCCAGTTGCTCTCAGACAAAACTCCTTCCAAAAATGTGCGCATGATGCAGGCCCAGGAGGCAGTAAGCAGGATCAAGGTGAGGGGTGCTGTGTGCTGGGGGAGGACAGTGGGCCAGTGTGGTTACCCAGCCCTGGAGCAGGCCCCTGCAATCATCCCACACCTCACTGTCCGATCCTGAGATAGCCCCGCACCTGCTAACTCAGCAGGAGAACCCATGCAGTGAGCGACTAGTTTAACCACTTACCTATTGTTCCTTTTAGTGGCCAAAATAATTTTGAGGTTTCCTTCTCTGACAGGTTTCCTCTTCTCACAGGTTCTAGCTTTCACAAGTTTTCTTGTATAATATGATGTATTGAAGTTGTTCCTGGCATTATGAAATAACACCTATATCCTTACACATGTGAGCATAAACTGAGAATTTTATCAACCAAGGAAAATTGTCATTTTGAGTATTTGCATTAGAGAGGTGTGCCACACCCCGCTAGCAATCAGTGACCCAGAGGTTCCTGTTTAGAGTCAGTTCCAATTAGGTGTCAATGCTTGAAAACCAAAGGTCCTGTTCCAGTCTGTTCCACTGTTTGGTTCAAGTCAAATAAGGTATGTGATCAAATGTGACCAGACTTGTCTAAACAAGTCAGTGCAAGGCTTCACCTTGTTTAAACTAGTTCAGGTCTGCCATAACCTGTTTGAATCTGTTTTATCTAGATGTAAAAGGAAAACCCCTTTGATCTAGTAGAAATCATTTACAACTAGAACCAGCCAGAACTGTCTTGATCCTGTGGAAATAGAGAGTTCTAGAATCTGAAGCACACCACCACCACCACTGAGAGCCGTGGACGCGCCCAGGCCACAGACACACCTGAGAGCCGTGGATGGATCCAGGTGTCATGCCATCGTGCCAGCAAATGCTTTCCCATGCCACCAATAGTCAAACCCCAGGGCAGCCACACGGGAGCCGCGAGACCATTATTTCCTTAGAACCAGGGAGATAACATCACTGTAGGTCCCTAAAACCTTATATGTAGAGTGAGTTGGAATAGTTTAGAGCTCACCAGGTCAGTTTTAGCCAGTTTTGACTGGTCAGGGTTGATTCTCCTCACAAAAGATCAATCCCATTTTTGCACCTCCCCTTTCACACATCTCCAGCTCCATCCAGGTATTTCTGTGGGAATGAGGAGTGGGCAGGAACCACGGGTAGAGGCAATAAGTTAGAGTTCTCAATCCCCTGCCTGAGAGAAAGTGTTACCTGGTGTTGCCTGGACACTTTAACTGCAAACCCTGGATGAGGGGTGGGGTGGGAGGAAGGGAAATGGCCCTGTTTAAAGTGAGCTTTTTTGCCTGAGCTAAGCTGCCTGGGTGAAGTCATCCCATGAAAAGGGAGTGGCAGAGGAGGAGGGGAACAGGAGATGTCAAGTGTCCCAGGAGCACAGGCAGGGTAAAGGGGCACAGACCAGTGATGCAGAGACTCTGTGGCTCTGCCTTCTGACCTGAGCTGATTCCTGGCCCTGTTGTGACTATTAAACGTGATCCTCTTTCCAACATTGCCAAGTTGCCATGACGTTGGGCCGCCCCTGCCCCCACTGCTCAGCCCCACTCTGGCTTCCAGAGCTCCTGTGTGAACATCCAAAGTTCCCTCCATTGCTTCCTCATCAAGCTGCTGCAAACACTTCTGCTGCTGGGACTTCATGAGCTGTCCACTGCCTTCTGCAGCCCCTCTCCAAGCTCAGTATCACAGCACCACCTAACGTACAGTAAGCCCAGGCTGGAACTTTTGATCCCACTACCGAAGTGTTATGTTAGAGAGTGGTAGTTACCAGCCAGAGATGATAACTGCACTGAGAGGGGCTGCCCTCAGCTCTGATGGGCCACAGTCAAGGTTACTGACAGGGGCTTATTGTTAATAGTTTCCTCCACATAAGACAGGGAGCCGCTCAGCCACTCCCTCATACGTTTGATCTGCTGTCAGGAACTTCTCCAGATTACTGAGAAGCAGTGATGTCAGTTTGAAGACTAAAGTGTGCCTGATTCAGGCCACACTCTTTTCAGTTATTTGCTATGTGTTTGAGAGATGAGTAGAGAATAAAGATGACAGTAGGAGAATTGATGCCGTTGAGCTGTCGTGTTGGAGATGAGTACTGAATATCCCGTAGACTGCCAAAAGAACAAACAAATACATCTTGGAGAAAGTGTGGCCAGAGTGCTTTTTGAGGCAAGGATGGCAAAACTTCATCTCAAATATTTTGGACGTATTATGCTGTTCTTTGGAAAGAGACATCATGTTTGGAAAGGTGGAGAGTCAGCAAAAGAGAGGAAGACAACCAGTGAGATGGATTTCTACAGTGACTGCAGGAATGGGCTCGAGTGTGTTGGAGATGATGAGGATGGCACAGGACCGGGTTGGGTTCAGATCAGTTGTTCTAGGGTTGTTAAGAGTTGTACTTGACTCTGCTGCACCTACCAACAACAACAGAGCCCGGCTGCCATGAGGCACCCATGACTTCTGTTGTGTTCATAAAGTTAGCCTCTTCCAGGAGGGCCACTGTGGGCAAGATCTTCTTTCAAGGGGATGGTGCCCACTACCCACAGAGATGGTTTTGCCCTACTGGCTCCTGACCGGACAGCTCTGCAGAAGCATATCCGTCTGACTGCCATCTCTTCTGGGTTTTTCAGGTTAAATCACGCTACGTGTAAGTGCCTGCTGGGCTGCCCCATCCAAGCTTGGTCTGATTCCTTCTCACTGTCTCCTGTTGTTTTGAAGAGGGCTGTTAATGGTTATAAATCCCCTCTGGTCTCCTTCATTTCAAGTTAGTATCTCCTCCATGCAGTGTCGAAAACAAGAACACATGAACCTTTGAGAAGACAGGCTGCTTTTCAGGCACTGTCCCAGCTTGCTTCTTGGGGAGCAGAGAACTTAAAACTGAGAATGTCTACGGAAATATGCTTCTGCTCTCATGCCCCAGTGTAGCCAGACACAGCACTGTCTTTTCCTAACTTAGCGGCACTCTTTCAGGGCCTCCAGGATCCAGGGGTTATAAGTGCCTGGCCTGACTTAAGTGTCAAGGGGTGATAAGATCCAGAACTTGGTGGTTTGTGAAAGCTGAACACCACCTTTGCACAGTGTATTTGGACATAGATGGGAGCATTTTGGGTTGCCATGGTCACCAAGGATGTCAAATGCCATTAAAGGGCCAGAGCCATTTATACTGACTATCCCGTGATGTCCAGGTAGATACACACAGCAAACATTTATCTTCCCCCAAATGCCAGTGTCCCATTTTGAGCACAGCTGTGGTTTCTCCAGGTGAGTCCTCCAGAAAAAAGAAGCTGGATGTCCCAAAGTAGTGCTGAGGTGAGAGAGGAGACTGGTACTTGGGCATGGTGTCATGTAGCTCCTTTCTACGTGTGTGCACGCGCACACACACACCCAGATGAAGGATCTATGTCTTTTCCACCCAGCCCCTTCCCCTCCGATATGTGCATGGTGCTCAAATATACTCTCCTGCACACTTGCACATAAATCCATTTCCTGGGTAGACTCCAGCAGCAGCTGCACCAGATCCCCATCCAGTGCCAATGGTAATGTAAATTATACCTTCTTATTTCACGGCGGTGTCTGACAGTGTTGATAGTGTGTTGGGGGTTTCTTTCTTTTTTTTTTTTTCTTTAATGTCCAGCTGCCTGATAAGAAATCAGAAAAAATTTATTTTGACGCTTCAAAATTCCAGAAGTTCCATGGTTTATTAGAGAAAAAAGAAAAAAAGAAGGGCTTTGTCAATCCAAACAAGCAAGATGAAGGCTGTCTGGTTGTAAATACAGTTCAGACCTGCCTAGAGCAGAATAGACATCTGGAAAACATCCATTTATTTTACTGAAAATTGCTCGAGTGTGAGGAATTCATTATAGAGGGGTAAAATTAAATTGTTTCATCTCCTTTGTAACTTACACGTATCATGCTGCAATGTGCTCCTGTGCATTTGAAAGAACTGTTGCCTGTCATTAAATATTTTCTGCCTCATGTTCCTTTTACATCCATTTAAATTTTCTTCAGATTGTTTGGCTTTGCACCCAGCCTGAAGCTTTTCTCTGATTGTAAGTGGAGCTGGCTGTGTTTAGAACCCCTTGTCTTATTTCCACACCCCCTGAAAGGGCACCTGGCAGGGAGCACACAGGAAGTGCATCCCATGAAAGGGAACGTGAGGATGGAGATGAGGTGGCCACACGGAACTGTGATAGTCTCTGGTGGCACTGGCGCTGTAGGACTTGCACAGAAGACACTGGTTTCTAAGAGAGGCGACGTCACGTGCATTCCTAAAGAGAGACTGATGCTTTAGGAATGGCTTATTCAAGGCACCCCACTAGGAAAGCTGCACAGCGGAAGGAAGCTACAGATTCTATACTCTGTGTCACAGATTGTTGTTGTTGTTGTTATGTGCCATCAGGGCGGGACTGACTTGGACCTGACCCTCCAGTAGGTTTTCAGAGGCTGTAAATCTCACGGGATAAGACTGCCCCTCTGTCCACTGCAGAGCAGCTGGTGGATTCAAACCAAGTGTCTTCAGGTTGGCAGTGCAACTCTTTAACCAGTCGGCCACCAGAGCTCCCTCTGCAGGAGGAAGTGTGAAAAGTTGTGTGGACATTTGCAGACTGTTCAGCAACACCCTCAACCAAATGTTGTCTAGTAATTTTCCACCTAGTGCTTTCATATAAACAAAGACTGAATAGTTCCCCCTTTTCTTTTCCGATCCTTTATTCTTCCCTTACTCTCCTCAGTTTTGTCCTACCCTCTTCCCCCTACCCAGATCATTTTATTTGATCTAAAGGATGAGCATGAAGCCAAGCACATTCTCACTGTGTGGCCTGCTGGAATGAGATGTGCCTGGTGTCTGGTGTCTCTGAGCAAACGTTGAACAGGACCTCCCATGTCAGAGCAAGCTTCTAAAATGCCTGTTCCCATTGTTGATTGCATTGTCCATCCCTCTCACCTAGCACCAAGTACATACCAGAACTGAACACTATCATTGAATGGCTACTTGTTGCTTTAAAAATTAGTTTGTTGTTTTGGTTTTTTTTTTTTTAGTTTAGCAAGGAATTTACAAATATAGTTATTGCCAGGTAGAGAATTTAGAATTTATGGTTTGACGAGGCATTTTCTACTTAAATTTGCCCAAAAAACAAACCATCTATACACAAACACTTACACTGAGCATTTTTGGAGGTTAAAAAAAATAACAGAGACACAGCTCTGGCCTTGATAAAGGTGGTTAGATGACAGTAGTGCAAGGTGAGGCAAATCAGAGAACTAGACATTAAAAGGCTTCTCTTTTTATGAGAAATAAGCAAAATAGAAGATAGCTGATTTTTTTAGAGTTTGTTGTTGGTTTTATGTTTTTTTCATACTTAAATACTCTTTAATAGGTTTTCTCTGTCTTCATTGTTTGACATTCTTTAGAGAAACTAGTATCTTTATAAGACGCCCCACATATCTTAAAAAATAACTAGAGCAGTGATCCTCAAAAGTGTGGTCCCCAGACCCAAACCATCCACATCATCTAGGAAATTGTGAAAAATGCAGACCTTCAGGCCTCACCCCAGTACTCACCAAATCAGAAACTCAGTGAATGGAGTCCAGGGCTCCGTTTTTGTAGCAAGCCTTCCAGGAGCTGATATGAGCTGCAGCTTGAGAACCACTGCCTTATGGAGGATGGGCTGCTGCTGCTTTCTCCACACGTGCCCTGTAGCTTTCTTGCCAGCCAGAGTAATGCTTGTCACCAAATAGATTACACTGGCAAGTGGCAAGAAAGGTGGATAAACCCTGCGGAACAGATCCCTGTTCAAAACATTTGCCCCAAATGTCTTCCTGTTAAAGGCTCTGAGAAGTCCTGCATTATGCACATTTGTGTTTAACTAACACCTCCCAATACTATCCACATCCTGTTGCTTAGTATCCCCCAGAACACATTTTAGACAAAATCTAAAGAGAGCTAAAAAAAAAAATCTAAAGAGAGCTTTGCCCTCAGTACCATCAATATTTCATCTTGACCTAAAGTAGAGATCCCCTCCTTCCCTGAAAAGGGTATGAGTTATGCCTAACTTCTCTCTAAAAACAAAACCAAACTTAGTGCACTCGGGTGGATTCCAACGCATGACAACCATGGGGGTCCAGGGTAGAATGAAGAGAAAACCAAACTTTAGGCCAGAATAATACATTCATTTGTCTTTTTCTCTGTCCACGGCATCTCGTCTTTCTGTTTCATCATCGTCCCCACTTCATTCCCTGCTCTTCCGTCAGTGGACACGGTGGTCTTCTGGGCCCTGCCCAGGCTGTACAGACAGCTTCACGCCCACACCGAGTGTGATGTACATATCTCTACTCTTTCTACATTTGTAAAACTTGTGCATTTAGATTGCAAATGACACACTGTTATTTTTTTTCATCTGTGCATTTTTGTAAGGAACATTCATTATCAAACACTTCTTGTATCTGTCTTTATTCATTTGTCCCAAAAGGTCAAAGCTTCCCATTCTTTTATGATTTCTTATGATTGTCAAGTTTTATTATTTAATCAAACAATTACATTTCCTATCGTTATCATTTATTATAGGGAGCTCTGGTGGCCTAGTGGTAAGGAGTTACACTGACAATCCGAAGGCACATGGTTTGAATTCACAAGTTGCTGCATGGGAGAAAGATGCAGTCTCCTTCTGTGCAGTTAACTGCCTCTGAAAACCCCCTGGAGGGTTAGCTATGGATTGCTTCGAACTTGACATTACATATAACACTAGTATCATTATAGCTCTGTCTAAGGAGCCCTTATAGCATAGTGGTTAAATACTGGCATGCAAACTGAAAAGTTGCCAGTTTGAGCCCTCTGGCTAATTCTAAGGGAAGAAGCTATGACAAGTCTTCATCTGTAAATATTATAGCCAGGAGACCCTATGAGGTCTGCTCTGTCCTAGAGAGTCTTTATGTGCCAGTCCAAAGTCAAAAGCAATGGTGTGGTTTTGATTTGTTTTTTTAGCTTTGTCAAAGTCATGTTATTTCCCATCTGACTCGCAGTCCGCAGTCAGCAAGAATGATATTAATATTTATATGAGACCCTCTGTATATTATTTCATTTGCTCTTCAGAATTGGGTGGAAAGGGAATCTGGTGAAGTTGGATATATTAACCCACTTATCAGTCAGATAACCTGAGATATTTATAGGTAGAAAATTAGGTTATACAGCAAGAGGTTTGGAGTGTAGTATCTGATTGCCTGGGTTTGAATCTCTCTGACCATGTATTGGCTGTGCTGTGTGATGTTGGGCATATTATTTAGCCTCTGCGTTTCTGTTTCCTCTTCAGAAATAGGAGAGGAATGTAGTGCCTACCTCACAGGCTTTCACATGGATGCATGTGAAACACTTAGAAGGACTCTGGCACATGGTAAGTGCAATGTCAGTAGATGCTAGGCAGACAGAGGAGGGCCGAATTGAGAGGATCCCAACATGAGTGAAGTATCGGAACAGCAGCAAACACTCAATGTGCATTTGTTGATTGAGTGGCAGGGTGGACGGTGCCCATTGTCTGCCCTCTGCACCACACGCCACTGGGTGATAAGCCATAATCAATCCCGTGAAATGTGAGAATTTAAATGGATGTTGTCATTCTGGCTTTGTGGCACATACTGTACTTAAGTTTCCTGAGAACCGCTGTCTGCTGCTCCAGGGTTGTGTTCTGGCTCCGGAAACTGCCTGCCCTCCTCATGTCCAGTGCTAGATCTGCATTTTTAGGTCCAGCTTTTGCCTCAGGCACTAGGAGGCCATAAGTGATTGGATGTTATGGTATGACTCTAAATACATTTAAAAAAATTTTTAACTTCATAAAAATTCTTCCTGACTACCTGCCATGACACCCCATTTACTTTTGAGTTCTCTTCTTCATCACCAGTTGCAGTAACAAACAATCTGGTTATTATTCTGTTGTTGGCGGGCACATTTGAAGGGGTCCCTTCAGATCCTAGTTCCCTAGAGAGTTAAGGAATTCAGACTAACCACTGTTAGGTTTGGGCATTAAGAACAATGAAGTTATTGTGTTGTAGCCACACCATCTCAGGAAAGTGGTAGGAAACAACCCCTAAGGACTTGAAGTAGTCTGTAGTCATGAGAATTATAACTGAGTTAGACCAGGATACTCAGTTTTCTGTATGGTAGGTGATGAAGCATCAGCATAGGACCACCCCTTCAGTCCTGAAATACTTCCACTGTGATGTCCAGCTGTTAGAATAAATAGCATTTACACTCATGACCACCAGAACAAACCGTGGGGTATACCCAAGGTCACCTAGTTGGTGTTTGTGTTGCTGATTCAGCGGGTTTCTCTATCATGAGATATTACAAGCAACACCTTTTAGTCAGCAATAAAATAGAGATGCACTGCTGAGATCAAAAGAGCTTTCCTGCCACGTGAGCACTGAGGGGTGTGAGAGAAATTCTTCCTCCGTGTGCACCTATCACCGCAGCGCTGTGGCCAAGTCATTCACTTGCCAGGGTCCATATAGACCACAGACCTGGCCAAAGCCAGGAAACTGCATTCTGGCAAAGATGAATAATAACACTCTTTTTAAAAAAGAAAACGGGCACAGATACAGTATTTATGAAGCACGAGAGACTTTTCTTAAGTGTTCTTTCTAGCTTCAAAGCAGCCTCAAAAGGTCTAACTGAGGCACAGAGATACTGTCATACAGTCGTAAAGCCAAACCTTGGTAGAGCTAGAGTTTGGTGTTAGACAATCTGACTCTAGATTCTACTTTTTATCAGCAGGAAATACTCAATTCTAGTTAGGCCCAGTCTAGATTAATAGCATGCAAATTTAAGGCAAGAAGTATTACTAAAGATAAAAAGAAGTATTTCACGAAACTAAGAATTTTTTCAACAAGAAAACATAGTCATCATAAATGTATAGATGCCTTATAAAATAGCTAAAAATATATAAAACAGAAAGTTTGATTGACAGAGCCAAAAGAAGACATGGACAAATTGGAAATTACTACTGAAGATCATAGTAAATATGGTCTTGATAAATGATAGAATAAGCAAGCAAAAAACAGCATTAAGGACAGAATATTCCCACCAGTATATCTGACTTACTGACACACTGACACCGGCAGAGCACTATTCTGAACAACTACAGCATTTAAAATCTACACAGAAAACATCCACCGAAATTGATCACATGCTGAGATATATGGTCATGACATTAAATTTCAAATCATAGGAAGCCACATTCTCTGGCCTCATTGGAATTAATTTAGAAATCAGTAACAAAAAGATAACTCGAAAGTACCCAACTATGTTGAAATTAATAATAGAATTCTAAGTTATCTAAGATGCAAAGAGAAATCACAGGGGACATTAGAAAATATTTTAAGTAGGACAGTAATTAATGTTCAACATATCAGAATTTGTGAGATGCAGCTGAAGCAGTGTGCAGAGAAGGATTCATAGCTTTAAATAAAAATAAATTAGTAGCTTTAAATAAAAAAGCTTGACAGTCTCTCCTTTAAGTTTTCATCACAATTAAAGCTATAAAAAGGTCAACAAAGTAACTCAAGGCAGGGGCGGGTGGGGGAGAATAAGGAAATAATAAAGATGGAGGCAGAATCAATGAAATAGGGAAAAGGCATACAGTAAAGAAAATCACCCAAACTGAAAGTTGTTCCCTCAGAAACAGCAATTACAGTTAAGTGTCAGAAGTAGCATTTGAATGCTTTCATTTCCTTCTTCCCTGCCCTGCCACCTAATAAATTCTTAATTAGAAGATTGATTGTCTTTAGAGTTATTTAAAAAAAAAAAAACCAAAAAACAGTTCTCCTCCCACAAAATTGCTTTCTACCACTAATCAAGACTAGTTTGTTAGTTCCCTCTTTGAGTCTCTGTAAATTCTTTTCTAACTGTTCTCCTGTCTCTGTTTGTTCCATGCTAAGCAGATGGCCCAGAAATTAGCCAAAAGCAGGAAGAAGGTGCAGTACAAACAAGTTCATCAGCTTGATGTTATGCCTGTTCTTTTTCATTTGTTTACGTTTTGCCTTTTTATTATTTCGTGATTTTGTTTTCTGCATCCAGCAAGTTTTTGTTCAGATTTTCTTTTTAAACCGCCCCCATAAGCCAACGTTTCTCCAAAATCCGTTGCCTAAAGTGGCCGTTTTCTGTTGCTCATGAGTCATTTCACTTCCGGGTAATGACAGGGAGCAGATTGGAGATGCTAAATGAATCCTAACCCAGTGAGAACATTTCACCCTTCCAGGAGGATTGAGGTGGCAGGGACTTGGGTCTGTCCAATCACAGTTCTGTTTGACTTGTGGATTTGTCAGATTGCTGGATGCAAAAAAGAAAACTCGCTAATAACCACACGTGTGCAGAGTGAAGCCCTGTGTTAAACAAACTGGTGTGCTTTTGTTTTGTTTTTTATTTGGTTGTGGAGCTTCTAGATGCTTATAAACTACTCACGGGACATGGAGATGTCGGGGCTCTTTCTTAATGGGATGGTTTCTGGAGTGGGTTACTGCTTCTGTGGCTACTGAGATGCTGTGCGAACATGAAGACCCTCTTACCAGGCAGCGTCCCAGTAGTTTGCTTTGTGCCTGCTATGAATACTGCCCAGTTAGTTGAGGCAGGGAGAACTCTGGCTTATCCAGGAGCCACACTTAATGAATCTTCCCTCCCATCCATTCAGCTCTGAAACACATGCAGAAAGGGTTGACCGCAATCTGTTCCTATAGTTTTCCTGTATTTCCAATAGTCTATTATAGTGGTTACTACTGCTTCCAGGGAAAATGCAAGAGGTATTTTAATTTTTTTAACATGTTTTAATCTTAAAATATTTTAAGTATCTTTTGCCTTTTCCCCTTAACCTAGAGATGCCAGTGTCCATTCCCTTCGTCTTTCTTCCACGTGGGCCCTTCCACGCTGGGCATCTAGTTCTGGAGTCTGCATTGCTGTCCTGGTGACTGTGTCTTGCTGCCTCTGTGTGTGCACTAACCTCTCCCTGCATCTGAGTTGGATTCACTTACTAAAGCTGCTTCTCGGTGCATTTTCCCTCCCAGGCTCCTGAGGGTGAATCTCAGCCAATGACAGAAGTGGATCTCTTCATATCTACCCAGAGAATCAAAGTATTGAATGCCGACACACAGGTATGAGCCAACCCACCTCTCCAGGGGATGAAGCCCAGCAGCTTGGTGGGTAGGAGACGTATGCAGGTGTCCCAGATACTCAGTCCTGTAGCCGCTGACCCGGGGGAAATAAAAAACCCGGATAATACGTGTTAACAGTGCTTCTGTATTAGAAGATTCATCTATTTGAATGAGATTAGCCTTTTAAGAATTTTTATTTCTAAATCACTCGCATGTACATGCACACACAAGAGGGGAAAAAATATGACTACCTCATGTAGATTTTTTGTGTCATTTTTAACTAACCGAGCAAACGGTTTAATGACTGCGGTGGTGGTGTTATGTACCATCAAATTGTCTGCAACTCACAGTGACTCTATGTACAACAGCTCTGAAGCCTGGCCTATCCTGAGCCAGTCTCACTGACTCCAATACTCCTACCTCCATTGCCCCAGTTACTGTGTCAATCCATCTCATCCAAGGTCTTCCTCTCCTCCACCGTCCCTGGCTGTAAGTTATTAGAATATAAGTCTTCTTTATTTCTATCTGCTATAAGTTTTCTGCTCTGATTATTAGCAGAAGGGGAGGCTTCCGGCCAGTCAGGGTGTGAGTAAGGCCTCTCCAAGAACCGCAGCCCCTGCACAGACCACCCCTGATGACCTGCAGGAGCCTAGCTCTCCTTGGGGTCACTTGTATTGCACTGACCTCTCCCTGCCTCCCTCCAGGAAACAATGATGGACCACCCCCTGAGGACCATCTCCTACATTGCCGACATCGGAAACATCGTTGTGCTCATGGCCCGCAGGCGGATGCCCCGCTCCAACTCCCAGGAGAACGTGGAAGCCTCCCACCCCTCCCAGGACGGAAAACGGCAGTACAAAATGATCTGCCACGTCTTCGAGTCGGAGGACGTAAGCCTGCCTCGCCCACTCTACCTCCACGTGGCTTTGGCCAGGCTCGGATGGCCAGTTCCTATTTCCCACAATCTGGAAATAGTCATCATATTTAATATTAATCAGCCTCATTAATCATATATTAATAAGCCTTTCCTATGTGATTTTCTTTGGGAGAGAGATGGGCAATCTCCTTCCCAGTCAGCGTACAGCCTTGTAAACCCAGTGGAGGGTCGGCTACGAGTCAGCTCCAGCTTGATGGCAGTGATGAGATGTGTCAGGCGCTGTTCTAGTGCGAAGGATAGAAGGTTGAATGAAAGAGACTAGTTACCCATCATTAGGTGTACAGGGAGGTGAAAAATCAAATCGATAAATAAGTTCTCAACATAAAATTAGGTAGTAGTTGTTCATTGCCCTTGAGTTGGAACTGACAGATACTTAGAGAGCTCTGGTGGCCTAGTGGGTAAGGAGATGTGCTTCCAGCCCAAAGGCAGGCTGTTCAAACCCACCAGCTGCTCCATAGGAGAAAAGTAGGCCTTCTCCTCCCATGAGATTTACCACCTCTGAAAACCCCCTGGAGGGTCAGCTATTTGTCGGTTCTGGCTTAAAGGCAATGGATGAGTAAGTAAATGCTGTAACGAGTGCCTCGCTGGTACAAACAGTGAATTTGCTTGGATGCTAAATGAAAGGTTGGCAATTTGAGCCCACACAGAGGAAAGACCTGGCTGTCTTTGCTGGAAAACTAACATTGAAAACCATGTGTAACACAGAACTACTCTGACAGCCAGGGAATCACTGCACGTCAAAGTCAGCTCAACAGTAACTGGTGACTTTAAGAGGAGCATCTTAGGACAGAGGGACAAGTCTGTTTCCAGCAAGGTGGTCAACTAAGTCCTTTCTGAGACAATCACTTTTGTGTGGAGACTAGAATAAAGTGAATGAGGAATGAACAGTGCAGAGGCCCTGAGGCAGGGATGTGACTGGGAGACATGTGAGGATGAACAGGAAGGACACTGTGGAGTCAGTTCGAGCTCCTAGGATAGGCCTGTGCTCCATCCGGTTTTCATGGCTGTGACTCCAAAGCGGATCACCAGGCCGCCTCCTGAGGCTCCTCTGGGTGGGTTGAAACCACTATAACCCTTTATATAACCCTTGGACCCTTAAACATGTGAGCCAAGCAGGACTGAGTTGAGTCCTAGACTCAGATAACAAGAGATAGATGTTGCATCTACACGGCTGACCAGGGGATGGTTGAAGATTGTGCTGGATGCAGAGCCCCTCCTCGTCACACAGTCCTTTTTTTGCACTGTGGAATGTCCAGCCTGTGACTTCCGTTCACTCAGCTTCTTCCTGTCATAACCAGAAACCTCCCCTAATTTCAGAAGTGGCCCTGGCGACCTTAATGTCCCCATGTGGAGCCACTGGCTTGGCTGATGTCCAGGGCTCCTTGGTTCTGCTGGGGAAGGGCATCCTCTGCCCCACTGCCCCACTGACCTGCATCTTCTTGTTTCTGGCTGCTCCTCCAGGCCCAGCTGATCGCACAGTCCATTGGGCAGGCATTTAGTGTAGCATACCAGGAATTCCTCAGGGCCAATGGGATTAACCCTGAAGATCTCAGCCAGAAGGAGTACAGTGACCTCCTCAATACCCAGGACATGTACAATGATGACCTGATTCACTTCTCCAAGTCTGAAAACTGCAAAGATGTAAGTACTTGCTTGAAATTATCCCCGAAGCTGGATGAACTGGGCAGGGGTTCAGGGTCAGCTATGGGGGAAGGCTGAGCAGCTGAGGGTCTGGTGTGTAGTGCTGGGGGTCGTTGCGAAGGACTGCTGCCTCTCTTGGCTCCCCATTCTCACTGCCATGACAGCATTGAGACAGCATGGAAGAGAACCTTTTGCTCCCTGGGGTCCTGGGCTGAGTGTTCAGTGTGCCCCATGGACTAAGAGGATCTGAATTCTGCCCTTCCAGTAACAGAGCAAGGCACCATTCAGAGTAGTGTCTTGGAGCCTGAAAAAGATAGATTTCACATGTATGCTGCACCCTTCAGGAAAGACCTAATTGTTTCAACTGAGCAGCCAAGGAGAATTAGAAGGAAGACAGAAATGACTTGGGGGTCTGGATCTTATTTGGGAATTGTAGGGCACGAGAAAGCTAAGCGGACATAAATGCAGAATCGTAAACATCAGAAAGCTGACGATTTGTGTGGAGAGTCCTAGATGAGAGCAGCATGGCTGGGCAGACAGGTGTGGAGGAAAGGACAGAGACACGAGCACAGAAGCTCTAGTCAGAATGGAGGGCTCTTGAGCCCAGTGAGGAAATCTGGACTTTCTCCAGTAGGTGATGAGAACATTTCATGACAAAGTGATAATTTAGCCACTAGTTTGTGTTAAGTGTCTTGGCTCAGGTGTCTAGAAGCAGAGCCTGGGACAAGGATTAGCAGTCATGAGATTTACCAAGAAGGTATGCTTGGGGGAAGGGAGTGTGGAAGTGAGGAGTGGAGGATGCTCAGAAAAGGTGGCCTCTCCGGAGGTGAGCTACAGTCTGCCCAAGGGAACCTCTGGGCCACACGTCATAGGACAGAATTTTCCCACCTTGGACAAGGTCAATTATATTAGTTGTATTTTTGGAAAATTGAATATAAACTTGAGGTATGTACCAAAAAACCTAACACACCCCTTTTATATTTATGTGTAGAAATAAAATTGGCTCCCAAGCCTAGATGATTAACAACTGGTGTTACCCATACACAACAGGTTGGTGGGATATGAGACAGTCATTGGCCAAGGCTGGGAGGGGTCTCCATTTAGCTAAGGGCAGTTTTCCAGGGAAGGTTCCAGCTGTGAGCTACACCACCCAGGGAGAAGAACTACCAGCCTGCAGGGGGATTTTGGCAGGCAGAAGCAACAGAGACTGTGATGTCTGTATCAGTATATGTCTCTAAGAATATGAATAAGTAAAGAATAGACATACTCGGTCTTTGTTGGATACCTCCAGGAAATGGCTCCTGCTGTGGCATCTCTGCAGACCTCACCAAACTACAGGCATCCCATACCAGTCATCCTCTCAGCCTGGCCAGCAGAGGCCACCACCACATGCACACAGTCCTCCTGTCCCCTCACCATTGGAGAACAGTGATCGTTCCAGCTTCTTCCCCTCTTTCTCTTCAGTTTTTTCCTTGCAGAGAAGCACTACTGTTACACATTTATTTTTAACCAAAGGATGCTAAATTAAATATTAGAATTTGTGAACCACATTTATTAATGTGGGATGGGGGAAGTGCGCATAGAATCCAAACGCTATTTCCTGAAATCACAAGGTGCCACCAGTGCTGTCCCCAGTGAGGAGAGTGAAAGGAAAACCTGGTGTATTGTTGAGCAAGATTGCTTATGTGAGGAGAGAGACTCACAAGAGAGGGTATAAGCTTGTGTCCTAGTTATCTGCCAAATGTCTGTACTACGCAGGCCACTATGGGTGCTTTTAAAGAACCAGTGCTTAATTTCTCACAGTTCTGAAGGCTTTATGTTCAAATCAGGGCCTTGGAATCCTCCCCTTCTTGCTAGCTCTGGACTCTCCCGGGTTCCCTGGCTCCCACGCAATCCTTAAATGTTGGCTGTTTTCTAAGAAAAGAGGGGATAAAAAATGTATTCACATTGAAACAGATAAGAGAGAGAACTGTTTGAAAGGATATATGATTAGGTATTCTTGTCATGACAAAAGTCCAGAATGAGAGCTTCATGGGGGAGTGGACAGGGGGAAGGGGGGGGACTTGTATAACAATGAAAGTGTTTTGTTTTGTTTTTTTTACTTTTCAAAGAGAAAACCCAACTGGGAGGAGGAGTGGGCAGGGAGGAAAATGTGCAACAATGAATAAATGGAAATCCAAAATCTCTATAAACTTTCATTAAAATCTCAATTTAAAAAAAAAAGATTTAAAAAAAAGTGAGTTCAAGTAAATACTCGTTTTAAAAAAAAATATGGTTGTTTTTTTTTTGTCCTACCATGTGCTCCCTTCTTGCCAGGATCTGCTCTTTATAGAAGTGATACGGTGCAGCAATGAAGGAATGAAAACCCAAAATCCCTGTAAATGTTCATTAAAACTAATAAAATTTAATAATAATTTTTAAAAAGCCTAAAAAGAAGTGATTTAGAACACAGCCTACATTGGTATGGCCTCATTAATGGAACAAATAAAATCTATTTACAAACACAATGTCATTTATTAGAGAGGGCATTAAGAAGTCTAAGATGTATGTCTAATTGTTATGTACAAACACTAGGTGCTGTAGAATGTAGAGGATCTGATGGTCTTGAAATCATTATGAGAGTCTTACTTCTTAAGACCAAAGAAGCAGACTGACTGCTCTGCTTTCTAGCACTGCCCCGAGTGATTGCTGACTGACCCTTCTGGTTTCTCTCCTTCCAGGTTTTCATAGAGAAGCAGAAGGGAGAAATCCTGGGCGTGGTGATAGTGGAGTCCGGCTGGGGCTCCATCCTGCCCACAGTGATCATAGCCAACATGATGCACGGAGGCCCCGCCGAGAAGTCCGGGAAGCTGAATATTGGCGACCAGATCATGTCCATCAATGGCACCAGCCTGGTGGGCCTGCCCCTGTCCACCTGCCAGAGCATTATTAAGGTACCTAGGCATGGGAGAAATGAGCTTCTGTGCAGACCTGACAAAGGAGGGAAGGTGACTGCAGCCCAGATCTTTATTGCGCATGACCGTGTTCTGGGGGCCTGCAGCCTAGATCGTTACTGCGCATGAGCGTGTTCTGGTGGTCAGCACCCTTGAAAGCTTTGCACTGAGGTCACTTACCTCAGAGCCCCAGGGCAGTGCTGCAGGTTAGGTGCTCGGCTATTCACTGAGAGGTTGGTGGTTGGAAGCCACCTAGAGGCACCTTGGAAGAAAGGCCTTATTACCATCCAAAAACTGAGCTGTTTAAAAACCGTGTGGAGACAGCCCTCCTCTAACACACGTGGGATTGTTGCCATTAGTTGGAGTCAGTTTGATGCAACTGGCTTTTTGTTTTTAACTCACCTTCAAGGTACTATTTCAAGATTCTTCCCCATAGGTGTTTTCTGATCAAGGATGGCATATATGGATCACATGACTTGTGCCACGCCTGGGCTCCCATCACAAAGTACCACAAAAATCGAAAAATAAACCCATTGCCATGGAGTTGGAACTGGCTCATAGCTGACTCTTCACTGGGTTTGCAGGGGCCGTAATCACGCAGGAGGAGATGGCCCATCTTTCTCCCTCGGAGCAGCTACTGTGTTTTAAGCACCTGCCTTTGAGTCAGCAGTGCAATTCCCACTGGGCTCCCAGATCTCCCCAAAGGGCCACAGAGAGGGTCTAAAATGGCAAACATATACTGTCTCACAGTCTTGAAGTTTAGAAATTGGGACCCAGGGTGTCAGGAGGACCATGATGGTCTCTTTTCTCAACTCTCCTGGCTCATTGTAGCCTAGGTGCCCTTGGTTTGCACCTGCAGCAGAACACCATGGACATGGACATGCGTACTTTCTTCCGTGTGTGTGTGTGTGTGTGTGTGTCCACCTCATTTATAAGGACATAACGACACCATTCAGATTGCTTTAGGACTCCCCTTACTTTGGTTTAACCTTATGTCAACTTAGCAGACAACATCCTTGAAGACCCATCTCCAAACAAGGTCATGCCAACAGGTGCTGGAGTTTAGGGCTTCAGCATAAATTTTAGGTGGACACGAGTCGACCCATGCAAACACCACTGCAGACATCGCTAGTCAATCACAGCACTCTCCCCCACTGAGCCGGAATTGAACTGCAGTAGCCTTTTCTTCTGCACAACAGTCCGATTACATAGATTCAGCCAGATGTTCTTGGGAGGAATTGCCAACCCTGTTACAAATCACAGAAATGCTTTGAATCAGAGGACATTTTCCTCCACAGTGGCCATGACTGTGGTCTAGGTGAGTGTGTCCTCCCCCAGAGCTGACATAATGCTCTCCACAGTGCTCAGTTGTCATAAGAACGAAGAAAATCTGTTACAGTCCTTGTATTATTTTTTTAAGTATTATAATAAAATACATAAAATCTATTTAAACTTTTAAGTGCACTTTCTCCTCACCTTCCAGTAAGGTGAGATTCCAAGGACCACTATGTTGTAATGTGAAAATTAGTATTACACAGAAATGTAAGATGACTATATCACTATGTAACTGCCAGTTTATATCATTACTTCACTGCCAGACCACTGAGAATCATGGCCCAGTCAAGTGGACCATCACAGCTGGTGTTAGCCTCCCTTGGCACCTCAGCATCCAAGACTGCCAGGTGTAAATCCTTACAGCACTGAATAGCCAGAGTAGACTTTTCTACTATTGTTGTAAATGTGGAATGTCAGATAGTGAGATAGTAGTCAGTAAGTGAAGAGTTGTTGTTGTCAGGTGCCACTGAGCCAAGTACAACTCATAGCAACCCTATACATCACAGAAGTGAAGCCTGTCTCGTCCTTTTCATCCTTGGTACATGTGAGCCCTTTTTCACAGCCACTATATCAGTCCCTCTCACTGAGGGTCTTCCTGTCTTTCATTGACCCTCCACCTTTCTAAGCATGATGTCCCTTTCTAAGGAATAGACTGTCCTAACTAAGGTACATCTGATACAGGCCATGGTCTTCGCAATCACTTGTTATACATCAGAGAGTTGGACAATGACCAAGGAGGATAGAAGGAGAATTGATGCCTTGAGCTGTGGTGCTGGAGAAGAGTATTGAGAATACCATGGACTGCCAGGAAAACAAACAGATTTGTGCTGGAAAGGGTTAAACCAGGTGGCTCCTTGGAGGCAAGGATTCTGAGGCTTCATCTGACATACTTTGGACATGTTGTGAGGAAAGACTGGTCCTTGGAGAAGGACATCATGCTTGGGAGGGTGGAGGGACAGCGCAGGAGGGGAAGGCCCTCTATGAGGTGGATTGATTCAGTGACTGGGATAATCGGGATGGGAGAGTCAGAGACAGTGCGATTGGCACAGGACAGAGCGGTGTTTAGGGCTGTTGTACATAGGGTCGCTATGAGTCATAAGCGACTCGACGGCACATAACAACAACAGGTCCAAAGTCTGTGAGATGAAGCATCACCACCTTTGCCTCCAAGAAAACTCTGGTTGCACTTTCTCCAAGACACCATCTGTTTGTTCGTTTGCCAATCCGTAGGATATCCAGAACTCTTCTCTAGCAGCTCAACTCAAAGGCATCAGTTCTTTTGCTGTGATCCTTATTCATTGTCCAGCTTCCAGATGCAGAGCAGGTGATTGAAAAGGCCATGGCTTGAATCAGGTGCATCTTGGTATTTAAACTGACATCATTGCTCCTCAGGACTCTGGAGGAATCTCTGGCAGACTTTCCCAGTGCTGTGCATCTCCTGATCCCCTGACTGCTGGTACCAGGGGTAGTGGTTGTGCACCCAAGTAAGATAAAATCATTGATAATTTTAGTCTTTTCTGTCATGATGTTATGTATTACTACACGTCAGTGAGATGGACAATGACTAAGGATGATAGGAGACAAATCAATGCCTTTGAGTTGTGGTGCTGGAGAAGAGTATTGAATATATCATGGACTCAAGGAGAACTCATAGGTTCATCCTGGAGAGGGTGAAACCAGGCTGCTCCTTGGAGACAAGGATTTTGAAGTTTCTTCTGACATACTTTGGACATGTTGCAAGGAGAGATCAGTCCTTGGAGAGGGATATCATGCTTAGAAAGGTAGAGGGACATTGCAAGAGAAGATGTTGGGGAGATGGATTGGCTCAGTTACTGGGGAGTGGAGATAGGTGTGTCAGAGATATAAGATAGAGCAGATTTCAGAACTGTTGTATATATAGGTTTGCTATGAGTCGCAGGTGACTTGATGGCACATAACAACAGCAACAACATCATGATGTTGTCCGTTTGCCCAGTAGTGAGGATTTTTGTTGAGATGTAATCTATATTGAAGGCCTTAATCTTCTGCAGCAAAAATGTCTCAACAGTAAGTAAGGAGTCCATATATTTCTACATTTCAGCAGATGACAGAAGAACTGATGCCTTTGAGTTGTGGTGTTGGGGAAGAAGTCTGAATATCTCATGAACTTGCAAAAGAACAAACACGTATGTCTTGTACAAAGTACAGCAGCCAAAGTGCTCCTTGGAGGCAAAGATGACAAGCTCTGTCTCACAGACTTCGGGCGTGTTGTCAGGAGAGGCTATTCCTTGGAGAGGAACATCATACTTGGAAAGGTGGAGTGTCAGCAAAGGACAGGAGGACCCTCAATGAGATGGATTAACACAGTGAATGCGACAGTGGACTCAGTGTGTCAGAGAATGTGAGGACGGTACAGGATAGAACAGAGTTCACGTCTGTTGTTGGGAGGGAAGCTATGAGTCTTAACTTGACTCAGTAACACCTAATAACAACAACAGTTGCATTCATGGTGTTCTGCAATTTTCACCACTATCTGTCTCCAAAACTCAATTGTTCTGGGTGAAGAGTTTCTGTTTGTGGAGATGAGAGGGCCCTGGTGAGACAGTGGAACCTGTGAGAGCTGGAACATGATGGGATTACACTGCTCCTGATCTCACGAATTCTCCCCCTTGGACAGGTGTAGTCTCACCACATCTCTGTTAATCTTTTTTGTGTGGAAAATGATTGAGTTTCCCTTCTCTAACAGGTGCCTTACACAGGTGCTAGTCTTGAAAGATTGTCCTGTAGATAGGAGTCGTAGATGCACCTTTTATACCAAAACAGAATTATTTTTGTTTAACTGAAGCTGGAGTTATTATCTAGTACTAAAGGAAGGTCCTGAGAAATTAAATGTGAATGTTTAAAGGAAAGAACTAAGATTTCCTCAAGAAATGGAACATCTGTACGTAGTGTTTCACGCACACTGGAAGTTATAGATTGCATGGTCAGTTTGCATGAGAACATTCCTCTGTACAGCATGTCTATGGACCCCACCAGCTCTGGAACAAGCACTGTGGATGGGGAGTGGGATGGGGTATGAGGTGGGGTGGAGTAGGATGTGTGGTGTGGAGACAGACTGGGATTGTGTGGCTTCTCTCCATCCCTCAGGGATTCCTGCAAGACTGTTAGAAAGAAACTAATGTGTATGAGACATGAGTGGTATGTATGTGTGTGTCTGTATGTGAAGTGAGACCATGGACTGCTAGGAGAATAAAGAGGTTCATCTGAGAGAAGGTGAAACCAGGATGCTCCTTAGAGGCAATGATTTTGAGGCTCCATCTCTCATACTTTGGGCATGTTTCAAGGTAGGACCATTCCTTGTAGAGGGACGTCATGCTTGGGAGGGTGGAGGGACAGCGCAGGAGAGGAAGGCCCTCTATGAGGTGGATTGATTCAGTGACTAGGCTAGTGGGGGTTGGTGTGTCAGAGATAATGAGATTGGCTCAAGATAGAACAGGGTTCATTCAGAGCTGTTATACAGGGGTTCGCTATGAATTGCAAGCAACTCAATGGCATATAACAACAATAGCATATGTGAAGAGCTGTGTGTGTGGGAGTGTGAGGTGTATGGTATGTCCGAGATATGCATATATGTATTTAAGTGCGTATGAGAGAGAATGAGAATATGAATCATCTAACCATCATTC